TAACTTAGATTTCCAAGCACAATCTCTAAACAAAATTCAGCCTCCTCTCCCTCTGTGGCTCTGGTCGTCAAAAATCAACACCATATTGGCCGAATACTGTAAACATTATACAAGTAGTCGAATCATACTCAACCATTTTGCAGAAATAATGTCGCAACAATATCMGGACTATACACAAATATACATAGATGCATCCAAAAGTCAAAATGGGGTGGGTTTTTCTATAATCACAGATTGGGAGAATCATCTTTTTAAACTACCGTCGTCGTTTAGTATATTCACAGCTGAAACTCATGCTATTTACCAAGCACTATTAATCATCTCAACTTCAAACCCAACAAACTGTCACATCATTATCAGTGACTCTCTGAGTGCCCTTACTGCAATCTCTAACCCCTACCCTAAAAATGAACTTATTCAACACATACAGAAATTAATATCAGAAATAAACATCTCCACATGTTTCATGTGGGACCCCTCACACATCGGGATACCCAGAAACGAAAAAGCAAACACATCAGCCTATGAAGCCATTACATCTCCACAGTCCATTAAAATCAACTCTACGTCCTCATTTGAAATCCTCAGCACAATTCATCGGAAAATAATGGATGAATGGCAACTGTTTTGGGAAAATATTTCCCTTACTAACAAACTGAGAAATACCAAATTACTCGTCAAGAAATTAAACTATCCTCCCGRCACAAAAAGAAAAGAYGAAGTAACAGTTACTCGAGCCAAAATAGGCCACTCTTTCTTAACCCATGTACATCTYATCAAAAAAGAACCAGCACCCATATGCGATACTTGCAACGTAACTCTATCAATTGAACATATCGTAATCATCTGCCCCAAATTCACTGAAGCACGCAAGAAACTCCAAAATCCAGCATCACTCTATCAAGCAAGCCTTCAAAGATGAAAACACAGTTGCAATCAGTACATTTTTCCATAATATAAACACTAAATACCCATTGTAAATAGCAACTATAATAATGTAGTAAAATGTATTCCAAAATTTAATGTATACATATATATATATTTTCCTTTCTTTTTCTTGTATAAATTTTAACTAAAGTAGGCTAAAAACCTGTGTTGTTGAAGCCTTATTAATAAATTTTGAAAAAAAAAAAAAAAAAAATTATGAGTTCCGCTATACTATATGAGAGCGACTCATTATGTAATTTAATTGTAATGTGTACCTAAGCAAAAAATAAATTATGGATTCAAAATTAGTTTTGTGACTGTCAAAATAAAAGGAAGTATAAGATAGAATATATAATTACAACAACTTAATTTGCAAACTTGAGATTGTATGATATTCACTTTGTGAGAGTTACGATGTTCCCAACTTTAGTAATTTACACAGAAAAAGTTTGATATGACGTTTAAAATATTCTTCCCTCTTTAATTATTTTAAATTTTTATAACATAGATGATATTACTTAATATATATCATGGATAATTTTCTAATCATTTTAAGGTCTTTTCTATCTTTAATCGTTGTAGATAATTTGAATTTTTATAACTATACCAAAGGTATATAATCTTAGCGTAATTTACTAACTATTAAAGTTAGTGATTATAGTTGTAAAGTTTTTATATACCTATCTACTTAATGATAGTGAACCAGTTGTTAGTATTTGGAAATAGTATAATGAGAATGGCGAAGTGGTTTTATTAATTTTAGTAATTTACCGGTTTTTATTAAATTTTTAATATTTTACAAAATGTTTTATAATACTTAATTTGTTTTATTATAGGTAATTTAATATGTATATTAAGGATTAATTAGGCGGGGGGCTTCAACCTTTTTAAAACACCCTCCATGTTTAATCATGTTATACAATGCGTTAAAATTGTATATTATATCGTAAAATATATTAAATTTTATAATTCATTATT